CATTTGCAGGCTATCTTGTCTTTCTGTGAATCCTTAGATTATACAGCCTCACCGAACCTATTACTACGTCTATAACAAAAGACTGGGTAATTGCAATTTCCATAGACACTTATGTTTCATATATGACAATACGGTTTTATGGAGGACATTGAAAATTTGGTTGATATCACACATTCATGAATGGCGCAGTTAGTTTTCCTAACTCCCAAGTCCTTATGGCTCCTTATTACTACAATGTGTTGTCCTCTTCTGAGTCAGTGTCCTCCCCAGTGTAGACAGAGAGCAGCCTATAATGTAAAAATGTTTGAACTTGGCTCTGTGACATTACCAGTGTTATAAATGAATATCTGTTTTTCAAGCTGCTAAATTTCCAAATATTACATCAGCTTTTATGAAATGATGAAGTGTTTAAAATTCTTCAAAGCCAGAAGTGACAAAGTGATTTCAGCAAATGAAACCCTGTGTTTTCCAGAGATTAAAATTTTAAATAAACACCATGGCAAGGTTTAGTTAACTGAATTTTAGTTGACACTGATTTCATAGTTAATAGTGTACAGGTGCTGTTTGAAAACTGAAATCATCATATACATATAGGCAGATGATCCTTCAAGCAACATAGCAAGATCTCAATGAGTTCTACTCTATTCCACACTTGACAGATAAAACTTACAGGGTTGCAACTACAATTTTTGCAGATGGCAGTTCAAAGGAGTTTTGTAAAGACTGAAACACCTGCCACCCATTGTACAGAATTTTCACTTGACTACTTCAGATCTTTAATATTTGAAGTCTCAGTGTTTGTGAACTCTTGTAAGAGTAGAAGTGAGCCACACTGAACAGTCATACCCAGGCTAGAGAACCGCTTCTTACCTCCATGAGTAAGAACAGAATAAAAGAAAAAATGTTTTGAGGAGGACAAGTAACAAACTGTTGGTCCTAGAGACTGTTCTTCAAAGCAAAGTTGAGACAGCGATTTACCCCTGAGAAGAAAGAATTTACAGGAATTTGAAAAGAACATCTCTTTATGCAGTTTGTGAGAGTGGGTGCCTCTTCTAATTTATCCTTTGAGAGTCTAAGTAACTAATCCTTCTGCATTATGAAAGATAATACTCTATCAACATCACTGAAATTACATTTAAAATAGAAGTATAGAATCAACGCCTCATTCTTTCCTTAGTTTCTATTCCTGTTTCAATGATGCAGTCTTATTTTCTATTAGCAGATAGTCACATTAACTATATATCTTTTTTTCTGTATAAGTTTACAGTGGTTCATCGTATACCTCATACATTATCATATGTTGTAGAAATGCAATTGAAAAGAATCTTATGAACAATCTACTTGAAACTCAAAGCAACTAAATCACGAAAAACAATGAGTTTCTTCACTCATTCAGTATACTGCGTGAAGTCTTAGCCAGAGCAATAAGAGGAGGAAATAAGTGCTGGGCGTGGTGGTGCACACCTTTAATCTCACCTCTTGGGAGGCAGAGGCAGGCAGATCTCTGTGAGACCGAACCAACCTGGTCTACCTAGCAAGTTCCAGGCTAGCTGGGGCTACAGGGAGACCCTGTCTAAAACAAACAAGATAACAAAACAAAACAAAACAAAGAACAAGAGAAGAAGAAAATAAGGGAAACAAAAGAAAAGAAGGAAGGCAATGTGATCCTATGCAAAAGACCCTTGAAATAAAAGTGCCATCCTCCAGTGATCTGCACTGATGGATTAAGAACAATTTACTTGAAACCAAACTCCACCTGTATTTGCATTGCGTTTCTTTTACTCTCTATTACAGTTACCCAATGGATGACCATACCTTGATCTGAATTAGTAATGAACTTGCCCCAGTGGAAGTGTGTCTTACTGGCAAGTGATGCATGGCTCTTCCTTGTTCATTAACAGCCAGCTCTTTTCCCATGAAGTAGGCCTTCATCATGTGTAGCCCTTCCTGGGCACACAGTTAATCAGAATACGAAGAGGAAATCTATGTCTTAGAGAAGTTTGGGATAAGAAGCTTAAAATTTAAACAGAAGCAAAAATAATGACTTCAAAAATGATTCACTTGAGTTCTTTCATTGTGTCGTTGCCAGAATGAATACCTGTGTGACAAGTTCTGCTTTCGACAATTATATTAAAGGCATTATGATTATACTTGTCACTTTCCAAGTGTATGCACTAATGAGCTACTTTATAGCTAGATTTTTCTGTTTTGAAATATCACAAACAGCATATATTCTCAATGTGAACAGAAGAAATCAATGAATGTTTACAAAGCAGACTTAGTAATGATTTTTTAAAATTCCAAAATCAGAATAAGATTTCAACGCTGGCTTCCTTCTTTTCAAAGAGAGTCTCTCTCCCCCTTCAACCTTAGCACAGCAGAAAGGTTCGGCATTATGGATCTCATTTACTTTAACAGAAGTTACTTGATGAAGCTTATGCATTCTGCTTAGAAACTCAGCAGTTCAACTGCTCTGTTCTGTGTCCTTGGTCTATAGATAATTTTCTGTAAGCCTTTGCCGAGACATTTCACAGCAGCTACCATTTGCATCTCACCAAATATTTTTATTTCTTTTTAAAGCATAGTTATCCATGTGTAATCTGTAACATCCAACAACTGACAACAGAAGCAAAGGTGTCATTACAATGCAGAAATAGATAAAAAGTATTTGTGTACAATGTATATGTAGGCACACAAAATAGCTTTGTTTTCTGGGTAACTAAGATGTTCTCATAGAAGTTGATTGTGAAAATATGACTAAGGGCTATTGAATTTTTCTGTTTCAGTTTAAAAATGAGAATTAACAACTAATTTATATTTTTAAATCAGTTTTCCCCTTTCTTACATAGTACTTTTAATTCTAAATAGGTTTGTGTGTTCTAAACCTGTTTCAAATACTGTTATGAACATAATTTGTTCTTCATTTAAATTGAAACACCCTTATATATGGTAAAAATTTTAAGAATATTTTATGATTTTTATTTTATGTGTGAGTATGTTGCCTTGTATGTAAGTGCACCATTATCAAGCAATGCCCACAGAGGTCAGAAGAGGGCATTGGGTTCCCCTGGAACTGGAGACATGATGGTTGTTTGCCACCATGTGGGTGGGAATCAAACCTGGGTCCTCTGCTAGAGCAGCCAGTGCACCTAACTGCCAAGTCATCTCTGCAGCCCCAGTCCAATTTTTTAAATACACTATTTTAATCATGTGAGCTAACTCCCTTCAAGCTCAGTTTGCCTCCTATTTAAAATTTTGCAAATAGATGGTGATGAACTCAAATCTTTTCCATAAAATTTCACTTTTTCTATTTGACCCAAACTGGCCATTTCCTATTCCATCATGAGTGCAAGTCTTCATGAGTAATGGTGTTAGACGTTATCTCTACTGATGGAACAGTAGCCACTCTGAGAACAGGTCCTTTATCCACACTGATTTTATGTTCATGGAATAAACAGTTTATACAAATGTGGAAAACTCGTGTCAACCCAGGTCAGCTGAGCATATGAGAATGTCCATATTTACAAGAGTATTCCTTTATCAACCAAAACATTTAGTATCCTGTCAAATATACCAGCTATAACATCGGTATTTGTCAGAGAAGCTCTAGGTTTTACTGTAAGTTCATATTATTCAAAACTGTTAATTACATTAGAAGTAAAAGGCTGCTTATGGAGCTTATATTATACTCAAGTGGAATAATTCCAGTGTTCATAGGCCACTAAAGGTTTTATTTCTTATCTGTGATGGTTAGTGTTAATTGTGAATTTGACAAAAATCTAGAATGACCTATGAGATGGGCTTCTAGGCATGCCTGTGGGGTTATCTTAATTACATTAATGGATGTGGAAAGCTTTGCCCACTCTTTTGGCTGCATTCCTTCTTGACTATGGAAGCAATGTGACCCGCACTCTCAAGCTCCTGCTGGAGCAACTTTTCCTGCCATCATGGACTTAACTTTGGAACTGTGAGCTAAATAAACCCTTTCTCCATCGCATTGCTTTTGTCAGAGTATTTTATCACAGCAACAGCAAAGAAATTAAGACATCGTCTTTATTGTCCCATGCCTGGCTTTGTTCAGGCATACAGCCTTATGGCAATCAAATGTTTGCGATTATTAGTTGGCTTGTGGTCATTTTCTTGGTTGATTGGGTTTTTGAAATCTGTTTCTCACTGTGTAACCATGTTCCTCTTAAATTCAGTCTACTTCTACCTCCCAAGTGCTAGGATGCAGCAGCACACCACTGTCAGCTGTCAGATACCACAATCAGGTTTGTTTGGTATTTGGGGTTTGGGTGGGAGGGGTTTATTTGTTTGGTTTTGGGTTTTTTGAGACAGAGTCTTTCTGTAGCCCCAGCAGGCCTGGACTCACTATGTAGACCAGGATGGCCTCGATCTCACATAGATATGCCTGTGTCCTGAATGCTGGGATTAAAGGCAAGCGCCACCATGCCTGGTACGATCAGGTTTTGTGAGTCCTTAAGATTTTTATGTAAAGAATTTCACGTGCAATTCCTTCCCTGAATAGTTCCAAGTCACTGGAGTTTCTCCAAAGCTGCAGTTCAAGATTTTGCTTCAAGATAGCCCCGTTTTAAAAGAATCTATGCCTAATCCAGTTATCCTATCCATCCACAGTTCTTTTATTTGAGCTTTTTTTCCTCCCCATTTGAATTATGGGCATATGATGACAACTTCAGAGGTCCTTATCTGACTTTTTTGACATCTAATTTCCTAATGCAGTTTACTTCAAGATCATTCTTAGGAAAGGTGGCTCTATCTGGTTCTCAAATGCTAACATGTCTCTTAATATGAATTAGTTCAGATCTTATTCGTCCCCAAGCTATCACACTGTGATTACCAATCTATGGGATATGCCAGTGTTACACTCAAGTAGATATCCATTCACGGTGAGTCAGCTCTTCAACACCAGATCTCATATTTTCAAGAGAGAAGTCCTAGATGGTTAATACCATCATCACTTTGAACTACCTATATATTATCATGTTTCCTTTAGATGTATCAAAATTCAAAATGATCAGTGAACTCTGTGCTACAAAACAAGGCTCATTTTTTACTTGTCTGTAAATCTTTGTACACAAATTAAACAAACAAAAAACATTCACAGGATCTACAGAAAACAGTTTATAGTAAGAGTTCTAGTGATACTTGATGATGGAATAATAATTTTTTACATCTAATAAAGTTAAAACACTCAAGTTTCTCTTATTAAAATTGCATCATCCATCAATTTCTACAGCCCCCATCAATGCACATTGTTTTATCTTAAATTAACAAACTTCATAATTTCTCAAAGCAAGCTGTGAAGTTCTCTTTTGTAGCCCCTTCCCTTTCTAGTTCTCAATGTCACCTTAGAGTTGGTGAAAGATTTGCCATTCCCTAAATGGACACAATACTTGATTATTTTTTCCTTTGGCTTTTTAGCTTTGCAGACCAGAATATTTACCACTGCAAAGATGCCAGTTGTTCTGCTTTTCCCAATGACCTTCTTTGCCTAAACTGTTTTCAGCTCCATCCACATTGCTGGAAGAGCAGTGACTAGAATGAGACACAGCGATCCAGGGGCTAGTGCCCTACAGACTCCTGCAAGATAGGGCAATGTTCTGTCTTCTGCCTTCCATGCGCTCCCAAGCCAAAGGGCTTCCATTTCCAGAAAATAAAACGCATTGTTTTTGCCTCTTAACTTTAAAAAAATATTTTTTATTGATTTGAGAATTTCATGTAATGTATTTTGATCATATTCACACCCCTTCCTCCCCCGACTTTCACCTTGCTACCCCCCCCCAAATTTAATGTCTTTTATTATTGTCTTTTTTTTAAAGGCTGAGTCTAATCTGTGTTTTCAAAGTGTTCCTGGGTATGGGTCTATTTTCTGGAGTCTGATCAACCTACCAGGCATCACACTGATAAAGAAAACTTACTCTCCCTTTCCCAGAGTCCATCAAATGTCAATAGATACTCCGCTAGGGCTGGGCCTCCCCCATCCATGTTGGGCCTTCTGCCTGGCTTGTGTTTGCACAGGTCTTGCACATGTTATCACAGGCACTGTGGGTCCATATATGCAACTACCCTGTGGTGTCCTAGATAACACAGATTCCTTGTATTCATCTACCACCTCTGGCTCTTACTATCATTCTAACCCCTCTTCCACAAGGATCCCTGAGGTTTGAAAGGAGAAGGTGTGGTATAGGTATTCCATTTAGGACTGAGCATTTCACAGTCTCTTATTCTCTGAATACTGATCAGTTGTGGGTCTCTGCTGCAAATAGAACCTACTCAGAACTGAGTGATGTACTAACCCATGGGTATAACAATACGTCATTGTGGGTCAGTTTAGTATTATGTCTGTTTAGCAGAAGGTTAGTAGTAGGTTCTCCCCAGTGGTCTGTGACATGCCTAGCCACAAGTTCTTGGCCCTGATAACAGTATCAGTATGGACTCCATCTTGTGAAGAAGGCCTTAAATCGTTAGAAGGTAGTTGGTTACTCTTATAATATTCTTGTCACCATTGCACCAGTGGCCTACTTTGCCAGGCCAGACATTAATATAGCTCACAGGCATTAATGTAGTTCACATTTGGGTAAGGTTGATGATTATATTTCACTGCCAGTAACATGCATAGCACCTTCTAGATACTATGAAACTAGCCAGCAGGGATGTAGCTTCAAGGTCAGTAATAGCTTGATTTCTCCTTGTTTGTTCTGTGACTCAGGTATGTAGTATCATCAGCAATAGGATCTTACCATCAAGTCCTGGTAAGTAACCAAGTGAAATGGCAATAACCAGTATTGTTTGAGAACCTATGGGCTCTCTTTGGTCAACAACTCCAAAAGAGGGAGTCCTTTTCTGGCATTAGACCTTTCATTTGCTAACCTGTGGTCTGTGTTAGGGCCATTGAACCCCTGTTATAGGATAGCTACATTCAAACTCTTTTTATATTGTGTATTTGTGTATTAAAAGAAGCTTCTATAGTAGCTTCCCATGACTCTTTTAAAAGGCCTTTAGTATCCATTCCTCTTATTCCCTATTCTACTCTGCCCTCCCATCCCCTATCCATTAAACTTGTCCTCTCCATTATTCCCTATCCCCCCATTATGAAGCAACCCCATGGCCCTTTATTACCTTCTTGAGGACTCGCTAGGCAAGGGCTCTACCACTGAGCTAAATCCCCAACCCTTGTAAATCTTTATCACAGTTTTCATTTTCCTGAGTAGTGATTTTACGTGACAAAAAATCAGAAAAGCTACATCCTCCAAGGTTTGCATCAAGTCTTAATGGCTGGCTAATAAGAAACCGTGGAATCCATGATGACTTTTCTGTAATCTTTTATCCTCTTTTATAACTTCATGTCTTCATGGTGCTTTCACAAGTTCTTGGCATCTACTGTGTGGCTGGGAATATCTGCTGATTTATTTCAGTTGTGTTATCATTTAACAAAGTATCTCAAGAGCATTTGGAATTGTACCGGATACTTATTGAAGTGTCTGAATTGCCTGCTTTCGTTTCCATTGAGGCCACTAGCCTTAGATTGATTTGAATACCCACTGAAGCTCAGTGTTCAGTTTAGACAGCTGCAGAAGCTCAGCCTTTTGATTCACATACAAACTGCAGTTCACTGGCTTAACTTCTACGTGTTTCATACACTCACATGCAAAAGTTCCAAACAGCACCTCCTGGAAAAGATTTGCTTCTTTCTTTAATTTTACTTCCTAGAAAAGTTTCTTGCTGAGTTTCATTTTAAGAAATAAGAACAATTCCAGCCAATATTTGGCTAGAGAGGCTGTGGGTTCCCTTCGTTAACTACCTTCAGCCATAAATGATCATAACATGTAGTGTTTCTGCTCCTCAGGCTCAGGGACACAAAATTTGTTAAGTAGAGTACCATTTTGGGCTGCACTAGACACTCTTTCCTAAACTAACACAGACCATTTACTCAATCTAATATGTCTACAGTAACATATCTTGGGTTATATTTTAGGTATGAGTTTTGATGAGCTTATTATTTAGCATCTATTTCTAGATATTAATATAAGCATTTTCAAAGCTCAGGAAAAAAGAAACCTATGATGTTTTCACCATTACCAGCTATTTTGAAAACCAAATTGTCTTCTTAGAGATGTTGCACTTCTCCTGGTATTTTCCTGTGACCTAAGCTGACTCTGTTTGCCTGTAGGAATGTCATTTACTTGCAGTGCTCTTTGTCTGGATGATGAAGTGTCACGTAAGCTTAAGGTTAGTGTGATGAGGCTAAGGTTATGTTCCCTTATGTCACAGGGCCTTACTGACATTTTCAGAGAAAATGCAGTTTCTACCTTTCTGATAAGGGAGTAATACCATGACCAAGGTCTTCTTAGAGAAATTTTTCATAAGCTATTTGTGAAGATGTGGGAACTGTCCCTGGAAGAGAGATTGTGTTTGTCCAAAATTGTCACACATTTATTTCACTGTCATAAAACTCAGCTGCCGGCCTTGTCCTAATTATTTGAAGATAATTCTGTTTACTGATCACAGTAGCAATGTGTCACCTTTGATAATATTTCATTCCTTTCCTATGTATCTTTAAATTAGCCCAGATCCTATGACTATCTGTAATGACTAGGTCTCTATTAGCAGCTAAGAGACTCCAGACTTAGATGAATGTGAGTGTGTGACTTGCATCATCTCCTCCCATTTCAACATTCCTGCCCCACCCCAATAGGAGGAAAAATCACCCTATTAAGGAAGTCATTTTCCAAACAAGGATTTATCTGATGCCATGCTTTGTTTGTCCTTTTGTTGTTTTCTATCTTTCTAAATTTTTTTAAAATTTATTTATTTTTATTGTATGTGCATGAGTGTTTTGGCTGCATGTATGTAAGGGCACCATGTTTGTGCAAGGTCCATTAAGGTCAGAAAATGCTGTCAAATCCCCTGGACCTGGAGTTATAGTTGTTAGCTGTCATGTGGGTGCCAGAATCCAAACCTGGTTCCTCTGGAAGAACAATCAGTGTTCTTAACCACTGAGCAATCTCTCCAGCTCCACTGTTTTCTGTCTTAAAGTTGCTTTTCCTATAAACACGCTGTTAAAATTCTTTATAACTAGTATAAATGGCAGAAGATTCTTCAGAGATACATATTTGCTATCTGAAATGGTCATGTTACTTATGATGGTTTTCAAGATTTTCATTATCCTGGGCTGCTCCTATTTTAATTTAATAACATGAATGTTGGAGGGTTAGATCGAGTTTTTTTTTTTTTTTATCAGATTGTTAGAGTTTGCATAGTGTCTTAGTTTGTTTCTTCATTGCTGTGACAAAATACTCTGACCATTACCAACATGGAGAGGAAAGGGTTTATTTAGCTTACATCCCGGGTCACAGTTTATCCGGGAGTCCAAGGTAGGAACTCAGGGCAGGAACCTGGAGGCAGAAGCTGGAGCACAAGCCATGGAGGAATGCTGCTTACTGGCTTGCTCCCCTGGCCCCTGCTCAGCCTGCTTTCTTATGCAACACAGGCCCACCTGCCCAGGGGTAGCACCACCCACAGTGGGCTGGGCCCTCCCACATCACTCATCAAGAAGATGCCCCTCAGACATGGCCACAGGCCAGTCCAATAAAAGAAATTCCCCAACTGAGGCTCCCTCAACCCAGGTGTATCAAGTTGACACTAAAACTATCCAGTACACATAGGATGGCCCATCCTGAGATAGGTACTGTGGTTTCTGAAAACTTTCACTGTGCACAATCCCAAGTGGAATCTCAGAGCTAAACATTTAAAGTCTTCTTGTGGACAAAGAAAGAAAGTTTTCTTCTACAGACAGGAGAGTAGGCAACTGGAAAAGCTCTCCAGTGCATCCAAGTAGTGTTGCTAGCATGAAGCATATCTGAATGTCTGAGGACATGGGGTATTTCCCTCCAAAGCTGCTGAAACTGTGGTAGGATGGAAGTCTTCGGAAGAGCTCTTAGAGATCTGCCACACAGAGCAAAACCTGAGGACAGAACAAGGGCTTCAGATGAACTCCCAGAGGAGCTCACTGAAGAGCCTAAAATGGTTTCAGTGTCTAAATTTTGTTATTATTTTCCAACCCTAAACAGAAATGTAACCTGCATATAAAACATATTGTGAAA